AAAAAAAATATTTTTTAATCCAGATTAATTCTAATAGATTCGCTCTGAAAATATAATACGTTTAACTTAAATTCTATCTTTCAAAATTTTATTATTTTAATAACTCTAACGTGATTTGCTTTGATCCCAGAATTTTGATGAAATATGATCACTCAATCGCAAAAAATCAAAAAACCTCTCACGCCCTTCTTGACCTAAACAATAAATAACATAATACAATAAAATACTTACCTTCTAATTAGCATTTAATAATACTGTACAACCCCATGATACTAATTCTAACATTTGCCACATAAAACAACCGCTATATTTGACCCAACATACTCTTGCAAAATACAGTAAAATTAGATATTGTTTCAAGAGACTGCTTATAAATCTAATTATTTTAGCGAACAGATTCAGCAGCTACTTGAAAAGGTACCATTAAAACGAATTCTAATTGTAATTATGATGCTAGTTTGTATAAAGCAGTATATTGGCACAATTCTAGTATAATGCTCTTGAATAACAATAGTACCGTGATAAATAGATTCCAAAAAAAAATATATGTAAAACATATAAGCATATACTTTAATGAAGAATAATACCTGATTTCACGATGATCTTTCTCTGTTAAGTCCCAGTTATAATAAACACTCAAATCTTTCTTATGCTATGCTTATGGGAAGCATAATAGCATGCAAATCAATGGCTGAAGCCAAACTGCACATACATTATGCAATATACTCCCAATTAGTCGTTATATTATGTGCAATAATGTGATCTTTAGTGATGTGTCACTAGAAAAGGGTATTAAGTTATGGTTATAGAAACTCCTTCTTTGTAATGCAGGCAATTCGTTTGGAAAACATAATTGCATGTATTGCATATGAAAGAACGAACAATCTTTGGGGCATTAAAATACATCTATTGAGTAATAAAGTATATAATCCCAAGAAACGTTGAATCTTACTCCTATATTTTCTTTATGATAAGCTTAGTATATTCATATATCATTAATAAATAAAACATAAAATTTATAAAAACATAAACGATCTCACCTGAAAAACTATAATTCCCTACCAACTAATCTCGTAATACTACCAATTCATATCCAAAAGCAATCTAGTCTTCTTGAGTAGGACTCGGCTCTAGAGCCATCTTATGAATGACTCTAACGACTCATTGACTAGTATTAATTTTGGTGTATTCAGATTAAAACTTAAACAAAATGGCTCAAAGACATACAGATGGTCCCAAAAAACATAGATTTACGAATGATATTATTGTACTTGGTGTGAAACCCACAAACAAATATAATACCAGTTGTTTATGTAAAGCTTGTGATGAAGTTCTTGGCCGAGAAAAATCTTTAGAAAGTCCAATCACCAATAAGAAAAACGTTGTTTGAAATCATTTAAAAACATATGAACATTTTCGTATCAAGCTTGGTTCTCAAGAGGCAGTAGATGAATATTGTAATAGGACAGATAACGAAACAGATAAGGCCCAAAAAGCTTCAAAAAAACATAAAAGTGCTGATATGTCAGGTAATTTGTAAATATTTAAAATTTTGCACATTAGTTATTACTAGTCAATAATTTTTTTTTTTTTTAAAAAAAAAAAAAATAGATGATAACGATGATGATGATAATTGTACAAGTGACATAACATCTGGTGTTTCTTCAGCAATGCCTATATCAATTAAAAAGCCAAGAAAAAGAGTATCAAACTCTAAAACTATTTCCAACTTTATTGTAAAAGATATCAGCATGAAAGACAAACCAAAATTTGAACGATTGTTGCTTCGAATGACGATCTCGAATGGATGGGCATTTCACTGGATAACAAATCCAGAGACTAAGGAGTTTTTTGAATTCTTGAATCCAGTGCTTACTTTTCCTAGTCAGTATGTGTTGTCCAATCATATCCTTGAGGCTGAAAGAACAAATTATATTAAATCACGAGAGCAAAAACTAAAAGAAGATAAAATTGGGGTTACTTTGGCATTTGATAGATGGAAAAACATTCTAAAGTAACATATCTTTGGTTCATTATTTATTTTATCAACTGAGGAAGTTCAAGTTTGGGAAGCAATTGATACGAGTTCAGAGAGAGAGAGAATGATCGATGTTATTCCTAAGATTAAGAATATGATTAAAGATGCGTCGAGTTTAGGGGCAAAATTATTAGCAATTGTATCTGATAGTGCACCAGCATATTCTGCTGCAAGGTAATAAAAAAAAAAAAATTAATCAATAAATAAAATAAATGAATAAATAAATAAAATTTCAATAAAATATAACAAAATATATTTGCAAATTCTCCTAAATATTTCAATAGACGTCGACTACGGTTACAATATCCAGAAATAGTGTTTCTTCCTTGTTTTGCTCATCAGTGTAATTTAACTGTAGGAGAAATTTTCAAAGAATCTACAGAATTTAAACTTGCAATGAAACAATCAATAAAAATAGTTAGCTATTTTAATACTGCACTCAATTCATATTTTATTGGAAAGCTTCGAGATATACAAAAGCAAATTTATTCAAAATACATTATATTAATTTGTCCAGGCGATACCCGTTGAAATTCGTATTGTTATTGTTTTAAAAGCCTAATAAAATCTCGTCAAGCTTTAAGGGTAAGTACTTATATTAGTCTAAATAAGTATCTAACTTAAATGCAACTATATATCTAACTTAAGTACCATATTTTCAAGAATTTGGCTACTAAGTATGAATCGCCTTTTGAAATTTCAACATATGATTCTAGCGATGAAGGATCGAATCAGCCTTCGAATAGCTTAGATGAACTTTATCTTCCACAACTGATAACAGCAACTCTACTTAACGACAATTTTTGGCAATCAATAACGCGATTACATTCTTTGCTTCTTCCTTATTGTGGAGCTCTTAACAAATTACAGTCGGGTACTACATGTCTTTATGATGTGTTGCAAGCTTTTGGTGGAATATTGAGAATGTGAGAGGAACATTCAGATTATGATTTAGCTCAACGTATGATCCTGCGGTTAGAACAAAGATGGAAACAATGGGAACAACCATTATTATTATTATCTTTTTTTCTAAATCCAAATATTCATATTACATGGTTTAACAATAATAATGAAAATTTAAATTTTACATATCTAGCTCAATTCGTTACTTATTATTACAAAGCGTGGTTTAGACGCTGACCAACTCGTATCTTGCTTGAGCTAGAAGACTATAGAAAACGTAAATATTCTTTTGACTTTGCAACATATAAACAATTTGAAAAAAACGCACTAGGATTTTGGGAATTCGCTTCTAATTCAACTAGAGAGTTAGGACCACTAGCCATACGCTTATTTGGAATATGTGTTAATGCAGCATCTGTAGAAAGACTGTGGAGTTCAATGGGATTTCTTCACACTAACCGTCGTTGCCGTCTCCATGTAAGATTTTTTTTGGTTCTTTGTTTTAAAATTAACTTTTTTTTTTTTTTAACAAAAAAAAAAAAATTAGAATGATAAAGTACTAGCTATGAGTCAAATCCGTGCTTCAATTAACTTTTCTCGAGTAAAAAAACAAATCCATACTTGTGATACTATGTTCAACTAATCTAGTGCATCACCTATCAGTGAAACTACAGATCAACCTACAGATGGACAAATTGGATTAAATATAGATATGGATGAAGACAATAGATTATATAATGAGTCATCAGATATAACAAATGCTGATGATTGGGAAAACCAATTACGTGACTGGGAGCAAATATTGATAGATGAGGAGGTTGCTAGACAAGAGGAAGAAGAGGAACAACGGGACAATCCTCATGATTATATGGAAGGTGATTTGTTAAATAATTACAAGCATCTAGCAGTAGATGATAAAGCGAAATGGGAATTATGTAGTATATTTAGTGTGCAATTTCAAAAGCCAGATTATATGAATAACGATAAGTAAGTTTTGAATACCTTCTAATGTACTATTATCCTGTCATGCATAGTCTTATTTCTACCAAAATTAATTATGATCTATTGTCTGGCAGCAATGCTTAAAGCTAGCAACCAACTTGCATTATAAAATAATTGAACCCTGAATTTGCAAGCTGTGTTGAAATAAAAACTTGAAACTTTACCTACTATTCAAATTATACAGTTATTTTAAAATCAAACAAAAAAAAAAAAATAATAAAGGAAAAAAAAACTTCCAAATGTATGTCTAACATATTCTGGTTTAGATCCCGGAAACTATGTACTGGTATTAACGGCAATACATAAATTGTAACAGATCAATGAAATACTATAAAATAAAAGAACACTAGAAATTATAAATTCATTATTAATTGTTTGCTTTTTTTTGGGTTACGCAGATTTGATTAACCTGCGTTCTTGTACGTATGTTACTAGGGATATTAAGTGGTACAAAAGGAACTAGTTCAGCGCTGGTCCTGAACTAGGACCACTAAGAACCGGTTAAAAAATCACTTAATATAAATGGGTGTCATTTTTGACACATTGAATAAAATTTAATTAAAAATAAATCAAGAAAAATATTTTTATTAGCAGTAATTTTACAGATATTTCATCACTAATTGGGTGATTAATAGAACTCCAATTGGTATAAAATTAGTAAATAATCGGTTAATTTATATTGGTCTAAACGGAATAATTCATCAATTATCTGTAATGTATATTGCTGTATTGAACTAGTTCCTAACTAGTTTAGGACCAGGACAAACTGGGACCAGACTAGACCGTATATTTAACATCTCTATGCTACAATTGCAAAAGGTTCTTATATTAAAATCATATGAAATATATGCATTTTTATTGGTTACTGCTGTTTACTATTATTGGTTAATCTTATATGAGTTCCAGTGGAAAAATTTTTCTAGTGAAAATTCTACTGGAACCACTGGAAGGCTGGAAGATTCTGGACTTCTAGTGGGATTCCAGAATTCCAGTGACAACACTGGTCTAGCTTATCTAGAGATATTAAATAAAGATAACTTGTAGGATATAATCACAACAAATATAATCAAGTGTACAAGATTAACTCTTCTAGTAAAGAAGTTCACAATAGGAAAACCTGTTCTAGGAAAAAAGAAAAAGAACAGAAATATTAAGAAAGATCTAAAGATAATTAGAAGTATGTATTAACAATACTCTTTAAAAATAGATCAGTATATCGATAGTATAGACAAGCACTTAATGAATACAAAAATAGCAAAAATAAATAGTTTGTATGAAACAGAAATAGAAGAGCTTTCTGAAACTATGTAGACCAAAAAAAGATATGAAGAGCTAAAGGTGTAGTGGAAGATTATATATTTAAAAGCTCAGCAAGCAAGAAAGAAAGAGTATCTTAAAAAAATTAATATAGCAGTTGAACATCACTATGAAGCAATATAAGAAGAACACAAACATATAATAAGTAGCTTACTTGAAAAATCTTTAAAATGAGTGGTCATAGACAGAATCATTAAAGAAAACAACTCAGAAATAGTATTAGTGAACTAAAAAGAAGAAGTACTAGAGAAAGTGAAAAACTATTTCAAAAAGCAATTCTACAAAAGAAATACCTATGCTTTAGACAGCTAAACAGGTAGAAAAAAGTATATAATCTACTAAAAAGGTAGACAGCAAAATATATGATAGCTTAGAAGATAAGATCTCTAAAGAAGAATAGTTAAAGACACTTAAAAAGATAAAGTCTAAGTCTGCATTAGATTTATCTAGTATAAGCTATCTACTGATAAAAAAAGCAAGTATAATAGCATAAAAAATATTCAGACATCTCGCTAACCTATATATTAGAGAAAAAGAAATCCTATTTAAATAGAAGCTTAGCCAACTCTATTCAATTCCTAAAAAAGAGGATTAGAATTATAACTTGTCTAACATCGTCTAATTAGTTTAATTAAAACTTTCTGCAAAATACTAGTAAGAGTTCTAATACATAGACTAAATATAACTCTAGTAGACTTCAATATCTTGGAAGGTCCCAATTTTGCTAGGCTTTCAGGTGATAGTACAATAAGCCCAATTCATATAATAAACAATCTGCTTAAGGATGCAAAATAAAAAAACAATAAGCTATGGATTCTATTCCAAAATATACAGAAAGTATTTGACTTTGTAGGCTTAGAAATACTAGAAAAAGCCTTAAAAAGAATTAAGCTTTCAGAAAATATAATCAATCTCATATTAAGCTTGTACAAGAAAAAGAGAATCAAGGTGATTACAAGTTTCAGACTAACAAATGAATTTGAAGCTGAAGACAAACTCAACTAAAAAGAAGTAATCTCACCTTTAGTCTGACATATCTTTTACAATATACTTCTATATATAGTAAATAATACAAAAGACATAGGATATCAGATGGTAACAAACTAGCTAACAGATATAACTTATAACAAAACCAAAAGACTAGTATACCAACAAGCTATGCTTACTTATGCAGACAACACAACTTGGATAGCAAGATCCAAAGATGAGCTACAAAAAATAGTAAATATCTTAAATAAGTTCCATAAGTAAATAATATTGAAATAAATAGTAAAAAGTCAGAGCTAATAGTTGTGAATATCAAGAAAAAAGAGAAAGAAAAAGAGATACTAGTGATTAAAGTAGGAAAGAATTAGGATTAAGTTCTTACAAAAAAAAACAAAGACATAGTAAGATACTTAGGAATATAGATCTCAGGAAAAAGAAAACAATATTATAGCCTAAATATTATAAGAAATGAAGTGAGTAGGATATACAAAGCCATAAGGTGAAAAGAGCATTAGCAAGTCAGCTCATATACTTAAACAATAGTGTCTTGCTACCTAGTATAGAATACAAACTACAAGGTTTGGTGACCTAGTATAGTAGTTAGGTTGTCAGACCATTATGTAATAGGTCTGGGGTTCAAATCCTACTGTTGATGAATTTGAATAATTTCTCAAACTTTGTGATATATTATGGTAAACTCTGTCTGTTTCTGGTAGCATACTTCTGTAAATTGAGTTGTACCAAATCGATCAGAACTTGGAAGTGTAGCATAATGTTACATGAATAAATCTTGATAGAATATACAAGCAGGAGACCTGTATAGTAGAAATCCTGAGTTGGTGAAATAGTATAGTCTTCGACAGGACTACATTAGCTAAAGTCTGATCTGTGAAGAAAACTCAGTCTAATAAAGGTAGAAGGTTTTGAGGTCTCCAGGCAAAGAGTAACTGAGACTAGCTGGATACTGGAAAAGGACTAGGTTGACTGACTAGTGGAGGACCACAGTGGAATCTGAAGTTATACAAATATTTACAAGGGTCTAAGCTAGGTGAATTTGTAAAATGAGTATAGATCACTCTAGTAGGTTTGCTTCGAGGTTAACTAGCTCTGTGATACTAGCAATGCATCTGGTATAATATATCCCAAGAGGACCTAAGCCATTTGGATAAATAGATCTATAACAAGCTAGCTAGCTTAAGCAGTTAGGTGTTGTAGTGACGTTAGGTTAGATCTGTATGAGTTAATGAACAGAATGTTTAAATAGGTAATTTACAGGTGGGTTACAGGTATGGTAGCATAGTGTAGAACCAATCGAGTGACCTAACGCTTATGTAGTGGACGACTTAAAATAGATAATGACTAAAGTTGTATATGTGGCTTGTTATACACTCTTCATGTAATTATAAATAGTAGGGGTTATCCATATATAATCCTGTTGACAATTCTAATAAAATTTCTTTGGCAATATAAGCTACCTTAACAAAAAAAAAAAAAAAAAAGAATACAAACTACAAACAATATTTATAAGCAAATCAAAATACAAAAATTTACAAAGACTAATTTAGACTTTAATCAAAAACAAACTTAAGCTAGCTAAGTTAATAGCAAACTCAATTTGTAGCTACATAAGTTTCTTAAGTATAAGATCAATCTAGTAAAACTAGCTTGTATATCATTTTATAGAGCTTACTCTACATCTCAACTAGCAAGATCTTCTGGAAGTAATAATAAGACTAAGAGTTAAAGAAGATCAATTATGAGGCAAATATCTATGCAGCCCTCTGAGCAAGGACTGTAAGTTTAATAAACTAGTTCCTATATATAACTTAGCTGTAAAAGTATTGTATGAAGTAACTAAACTAAACATAAAGATTAATAAGATCTTAGAAGACTCTGATACTCTCAACATTAAAGAAACAGAAATATCAAGCTTACTAGATACAAAAGAGCTTCATATCTTTTTAAACCTAGACAAGATGAACCTTTTCATACTAGAACAGCTTATAAATAGTACAAAAAGTTATCTGCTAACCTGAGATCAACTAAAGTATATAAGAGGTAGAAAAGCAAAGAGCTGTATTCCAAACTAAGTTAAAAAACTCAAAGAAAAGATACTGAAAGAAAACAGCTCTAGAGAAATACAAGACTTCTACAAAGTAAAGAGTTCTAATAGAGAAGCAATAAAAACTCAACCACAAGTTATTTCTAAAGATAGATAGAAAAGAGAATGTATGCTTTTTAAAAGAAGAGAAGATTTCTATATAGGAAAAATAGTAAGAAAAACAGAGAAGCTTGTAATAGTTAAATACTAGAGACAATTAAGCCAACTAGCAGAAGACTGCTCATTTGACAAGTATAACTGTTGCAACATAGGAAGTACTAGTAATAATGAGTATCTAGTTAGCATCAGATATAATGAAGGATCTCAGATAGTCAAGGTAAAGAAAATTAGTGAAAAAGAACTAATATTAAGAGTATCACTATTGGCACTTATCAAGGCTAAGAAATTTCATACAAATTATAAGGCAAACCAAGAGATATAAGTAAAAATCATAACAAATAGTCTCATAAGTGTAATTATACAAAGAGTAGTAGAGAATAAAGGATCGAGAGAAAGCTAGTAGATATATATAAAAAGCTAAAAGAGGAGAAAGTTATTAGGTATTACACAGATAGTATACTAGTAGGAAGTAGCAGAGAGCTAGAATTAAATAGAATAGGAGCTAGTTGGTTAGTTAGAAATAGAAAGGAGATAGATAGTAGTATTAGTTTTAGTTGTGATATAGAAAACTGGCCTTTATTAACTTGTGCAGAATTAGGAGCTATATGGATAGCTTTGCTAACAGCACTATGTAGAGCTCAAATATATATATTCACTAATAGTAAAGCAGTAATAAAAGCTATTAAAAAGTATATAGATAATAATAAGTTAAGAAGTTGGTTTAAAATAAAAAACAGAAGCTCACTGAAACAAATAAAAGACTATTACATAGCAAAAAATCTAAATTTGTTATTATACAAAATCAAAGGTCATAGTGATAACAAATAGAATAAGCAAGCAGATTACTTAGCTAAAGAAAATACTAGGAGAACTAATATACTAGAGACAATACTAGGTAATATTCGAGCTATACTAAAGTAGAAAGATCAAATAATAGACTGCTTGCTTAGGTTATTTGTAAATATAACAACTACAATAATATACAAAACAGAATAGGCTGAACTAAGCAAGGTAGCAGATATCATAGTGCTGATCAAGAAGACAACTCTAGTAAAGAGCCAATTTAGAAAAACACTTAGGAAGGACTAAAGAAGCAACAAGGGAAAAAGTGTATTCATCTAAAAAAAAGCAGAGACCTCATATTTCATATAAAATATATTAATAATATTTTATTAACAAAAGATATCTGCTATTTGAGAAACTTCAAACTATACACGAGTAGAAGATGTATAGCCTGCTTCAAAAAGGATAAAACCTTGTATCACCTAGCAGAATGCGAAATCTACCAAAAAATATAGAGCAACTTAAAAGAGGAAACTCTATATCTAACAAGTCTCAAAGTATTAACAAAGTTGAAACTATCATTTGAGAAAGATATATTGAAGAAGGCACTCTATAGTAAAGACTCAGAAGAGAAGATGCATATCAGAAAGATATATCTCAGAAGCCTTACAAATAAGAAACAACATGCAGATATATGCAAAATAGTGTAGTCAAAAAGCAAGACAAACAAAGTATTAATAAGTTTTATTAAGCAATTCTGGTCTTGTTTTTACGAACGATTATAGAAGTTCAGGTATGAAGTGATAGTTGAATAGGAAAAAGAAAACAATATCATAACCAAAGAAAAAAAAAAGAAAAAGACAAGAAAAAAAGGAAAAGTGAATAAAGAGAACATATCTCTTATAAACAAAACAAAGGAATCAAAAAAAGAGAAAGAAACAAGAATCCAAAAAGAAACTTCTGACAGAGTTGATAGATAGATAAGGTCAGATAGTAAGGAAGGATAGTTAAGGTTTAAAACAAATTAGGAGATTTTGATATAGACTGGTAGCAGCCTCTCATTAACTAAGAGCTAAAAATTTGTATATACAAATTTAAACTTTTATGAAAGAAATAGTTGCTGTAGCAAATCACATTTAGGTGCTGAAAAGTAACTGAGTGAATTCTGATTAGTTTTAGGAAAGTAGTTTGCTATAAATAGCATAGCATTTTACTTGTAGCTTAAATTAGCTTATTCTTAATAAAATGATAGGCAAGATCGCCTAAGAAAAAAAAAAAAAAGAAATATTTTAAAAGATTTTGCATGTCATAATAATTTCAAAATATTATAAAATAAATTTTGAAATTTCTGCATAGTACAAATTGTTTTAGAATATTGCAAATAAATTTCAAAATATTTATGCAGTAGAAATTATTTTAGAATATTGTAAAATAAATTTCAAAATTTTGTACATAAACTATATTAAACAAAAACATTAAGAATATAAATGTTGAACTTAAATATTTTCATATTTTCAACATAATAGATAATAGATTACTTATTATTTAATTACTTACACGTCACTCTTGATATAACGTAGTACCTCGAGCATATAGTGAGGAATTTTTTAAAATCCGCTTTATCGTGTGTTTTATTAGTAAATCCATTATATCAAGTAGTATTTATTATGATGTGGATTTGAATCTTGATCCATTATATCAAGATTTTACTTAGTCTCCGTTGTATCAAGAGTCCGTTGTATTGAGAGTGACGTGTACTAGTTTGTCGTTATAATAAAATAAAAATACTGTAATTTGGTTTTATTTTTGATTTAATTTTATTTTAAAGCAAATTTTAATAAAGAAAATCAGGGTGCCGAAAATTAAAAATTATCGTTATAAAAATAATTGTCAAACTAATTGAAATTAATTCAATTAATTGCAATTCTTACTTTCACTATGAACTCTACCATTATATAAAATTTGACTTGGACTAAACTGATCATACTGTAATCTTCTTTCAAATCATCTATGAAATCATCGTCACTGAACGGGTCCAATCACTGTTGCGTGTCTTTGTCACAGGGTAATTATGGCGCAGTGGTTTCGAATTTTATTTATAACTGATCTGTGATAAATTTTAACTCGTAGTTTTAATTATTCTTAACTGATATGGACGTTTCAAAGTTAGTTGGTTGATAATAATATGTATTCATGTATATCCTTTTATTTTAAGGTAGATTAATTTTTTTATAATTTAAAACGCGTCAAGTAGCGATCTCACCAGCATCACGGAAATACGCGACGAAGAATCAAATGATTGCATTTCTATCCTAATTGCTACAGATAATCATTTAGGCTATTTGGAGAATGATCCTATTCGTGGCCAAGATTCTTTAAATACTTTTAAAGAAATTTTGCAGATAGCAGAACAAAATGACGTAAGATAACATAAGGCAGCACGTAAATGAGGAATTCGTATTACAACTC